CCTCAACAGTCACCTCTTCACTGAAACTTCCATGATGCTCTCTAGATAGAATTACTGCTTTTCATCTCATGTTCCTTTAACCAAACCCTGTGTCTTAGCTTGGGCTACCATAACAAATATAGACTTGCTGGCTTAAATGACAGAAATTCATTTTCTCAAAATCCTGGAGTTTGGAAGTCCAAGATTAAGGTGCTGACCAATTCAGTTCCTGGTGAGGATCCTCTTCCTGGCTTGTAGATATCTGTTGTCTCACTGTGTCCTAACATGGCACAGAGAGAAAACAAGCCAGCTCTCCAGTGTCTCCTAGGATTAGGGACACATATCCTGTTGGATCAAGGCTCTCCTCTTATTACCCTACTTAATCCTGATTACTTCTTTACTCCACATACAGCTACACTGTGGGAGTTGGGCTTCAGTTATGGATTTTGAGTGTACAATTTAGTCCTCTGCACCCTTAGAACACTTATAACACTGTGTTGTAATAATTTATGTCCCCAACAGACTGTAGTCTTTTTATGTATGAAGCACTGTGTTAGGCTTTGAGAATCACAAAGGTAAATCTTGCCCTCAAGGAGCTTGTCATTAGTTGTATCAGCTTTCTGTGACTGCTCTAACAAATCACCACAGACTTAGTGGTTCAAAACAACACAAACGTATTAACATACAGTTTTGTAGGTTAAAAGTCCAACGTTGGTCTCTCTGGGCTAAAACCAAGGTATTGGCAGGGATGTGGTTCTTTAGGAGGCTCTGGGGGATAAAGATAATTTGTTTACTCAGCTTTTCTAGCTTCTGGAGGCTGCTTGCATTCCTTGGCTTGTGATCCCCCCTTTCTCCATCTTCAAAGCCAGCAAAGTTGCACCACTCTTCTGTGGTCATAGAAGACATCGTTTGGAAAGGCTTTCTTGTCTTAAACTGGGCCCATCTAGATAATCCAGCGTAATCTCCCCATCCAAAGCTATTTAATTTAATTACATCTGTAAAGTCCCACTTGGTCACAGCAGATAAGATGTTCACAGGTTGTAAGGATTAGAATGTTCCAGGGGTTAGAATATTTTGGGGCCCATTATTTTGTCTACCAGGTTAGTGGAAGACAAAGATGTAAATTAGAGACTCAATGCAATGTGCCAAGTGCCATGTGAAGATCTATCTATTCAGGGTACAGAGACTTGGGAAGCATAGAAGAAGGTGGCTGTTCAACCAATGACAATAAAAAATAAGGCACTGAGAGCAGAAATGAAGAGGAGAGAGGAGATGGGTTCCAGGGACGTATTAGGTTGTTACCAAAGTAACTGTGCTTTTGGATTGTGAATTTTAAATCATTATAACTACGCTCAGACACATTTTTATTAATCAAAATAGGAACCACTGTAATCAACACATTTTTGCCAACAAGAAGTAAGTTTGTTTATTCCTATAGCATAAAAATCTGTGTTTCGGGATTTGATGAACCCTTTAAAAGTATATTCTGCCTCCTGCTGCTTGTGGAAATTATCCCTGCAAAAAGCTATCAAGATGCTTGATGAAGTGGTAGTCAGTTGGTGAGAGGTCAGGTGAATATGGTGGATGAGGCAAAACTTTGTAGTCCAATTTGTTCAACTTTTAAAGCATTGGTTGTGCGATGTGTGCTTGAGCATTGTCATGGAGAATTGGGCCCTTTCTATTGACCACTGCTGGCTGTGTGTTACAGTTTTCAGTGCATCTCATCAATTTGCTGGGCATACTTCTCAGATGTAGTGGTTTTGCCAGGATTCAGAAAACTGTAGTGGATCAGACGGGTAGTAGACCATCAACCAGTGATCATGACCTTTCATTGGTGCAAGTTTTGCTTGGGGAAGTGCTTTGGAGCTTCTTCTCTGTCCAACCACTGAGCTGGTCATTGCTGGTTGTCATATAAAATCTGTCACTGTATGCATATATCACATTTGTTTATTCATTCACCTCTTGATGGACATCTGGGTTCTTAGTCTTCTGATTTTAATGGGCATTTTTATACAAGTATTTTTATGGTTAGAGGGAAATTTATAGCATTAAATGCTGAGACTAGAAAAAATTAGTTCAGCAGTACTTGGATGCAGTCTCAAAAATGACAGAATGATCTCTGTTCGTTTCCAAGGCAAACCATTAAATATCAAGGTAATCCAAGTCTATGCCCCGACCAGTAACACTGAAGAAGCTGAAGTTGAACAGTTCTATGAAGACCTACAAGACCTTCTAGAACTAACACCCCAAAAAGATGTCCCTTTCATCATAGGGGACTGGAATGCAAAAGTAGGAAGTCAAGAGACACCTGGAGTAACAGGCAAATTTGGCCTTGGAGTACACAATGAAGCAGGGCAAAGGCTAATAGAATTCTGCCAAGAGAATGCACTGGTCATAGCAAACACCCTCTTCCAACAACACAAGAGAAGACTACACAAAGACATCACTAGATGGTCAACACTGAAATCAGATTGATTATATTCCTTGCAGCCAAAGATGGAGAAGCTCTATACAGTCAGCAAAAACAAGACCGGGAGCTGACTGTGGCTCAGATCATGAACTCCTTATTGCCAAATTCAGACTGAAATTGAAGAAAGTGGAGAAAACCACTAGACCATTCAGATATGACCTAAATCAAATCCCTTATGACTATACAGTGGAAGTGAGAAATAGATTTAAGGGACAAGATCTGATAGACACAGTGCCTGATGAACTATGGATGGAGGTTCATGACATTGTACAGGAGACAGAAATCAAGACCATCCCCAAGAAAACGAAATGCAAAAAAGCAAAATGGCTGTCTGAGGAGGCCTTATAAATAGCTGTGAAAAGAAGGGAAGTGAAGAGGAAAGTTATACCCCTTTGAATGCAGAGTTCCAAAGAATAGCCAGGAGAGATAAGAAAGCCTTCCTCAGCGATCAATGCAAAGAAATAGAGGAAAACAATAGAATGGGAAAGACTAGAGATCTCTTC